GGTGGCTAATGAAAAACCATTTGTTAAATGGCACCAACATGGCCTCGATGACGTAACGTGCAATCAAAGAATTATTACTGTGTATTCTGACACTATACATTTTTATCCCTTGCTCCTCTAGATATCTATTTAATAATGTCATAACCCAGCTACCAGACGGTGTGTTTGCAAACCTTACTCTTAAATATTTGTAAGTAAAACAATTGCCTGATCTGTGACTTTCGTCTTTTTGCGCATTAATCATCGACGTTTGACATCAAACACTCTACATAGCACGCGCGGAAGCGTCGTCGCCGCGGAGTAAGTTTTGGTGGACGTCAATCAAAGAGTTCCTATGACATTCCATACACGTGCCCTTGAAAACTTTGTGATTTTCGACAATGTCATGAGAACATTTTGATTGACGTCCACCAAAACCTTATTTTGACGCGACGGAAAATTTTACGTTTTTGCGCGATTAAACTAGAAGCACTGCAAATCCAACATTCAAAAACGCTGAATTCTCTTTTGAGTTCTGTGAGTTCGCAGTGTGCATATAAGACCAGCTTATCTTTGTATCAGGTTTAAAATCCTTTTCCAGATTTCTGAACGGGAATAGACTGAAAAAACTGACAGGAAGACCATTCAAAGGAATGAAGAAAACCAAGACAGCAATGTGAGTCAAACGACATTCAACCCTAAACCCTAACCCTAACCCTATGAAGAAAACCAAGACAGCAATGTGAGTCAAACGACATTCAGCATGTAAGGCTTGAAAAACTAGTGGCCCACTAGTATACACCTTTTTAATGACACTAAGGATGAATTAAGACGATTTCAGTCATTCTTCAGTATTTGACTTGGGGGTTAAAAACATCGTCCTCAGATTCACAAAGTGATCTAGTTCCGCCTCTAAAGTATTGTAAGAGATAAGGGAAAAGAAATAAGAACAGGGACATCAGATCTCCAAGCACCAGGGTGATTGCGTCATCAGATTCACAAAGTAATCTAGATTCACCTCTAAAGTATTGTAAGAGATAAAGGAATAGAAATAGGAACAGGGACATCAGATCTCCAAGCACAAGGGTGATTGCGTCCTCAGATTCACAAAGTGATCTAGATTCACCTCTAAAGTATTGTAAGAGATAAGGGAATAGAAATAGGAACAGGGACATCAGATCTCTAAGCACAAGGGTGATTGCGTCCTCAGATTCACAAAGTAATCTAGATTCACCTCTAAAGTATTGAAAGAGATAAGGGGATAGAAATGGGAACAGGGACATCAGATCTCTAAGCACCAGGGTGATTGCATAAGCTCTAGCTGCTAGTCTAAAGCACTGATTGCTTTTCAATGTTTTCTATCAAGATACTTCTTTGGAAATGACATACAACACATTGATAATGACTACTTTAACGATCTGGGAAACGAGACTATGGTGTAAGTATAGTAAATTTTCATATGAATGCCACAGGCATCGATTAAAA